CACTATAATCACAGATTACTACTTAGCTATGGAGGACGGTTGGAGCCATGGAAGTAAATGTGTCAATACTATTCCATTCGATATATTCAGCCATACACAGGAGCTTTGCAGAGGGACAACGCTCTTACCCTGATTCCATAGATACTGTAGAAAAAAAAGGATGATCACATCTAAAGATATGACACCAACATCTATGACCTGCGACACAAAACGAGGACAGAAATGCATGGATTTATTTCGGATTATATACTATCAGGAATATGATTTATTATTAAAAGTGCCCAAAAAAAAAAGCTGGAAGTTTCACATTTGTATTTGTCAGTGATCGGAAGTCATCCAAGATTTATTACAAGCAAAAGTCATTTGGTAAATCAAGAGTATCGATTAGGCCAAAGGTCATCACTGCTCATCACTGGTAAAATTAAGAGATGCAGTGGACGAAACAAATAAAAAAAATTATGATCTATTGCGGTCTTTTGGCAGATTGCTTTCTGTATTATTTACACTATTGTAGTGTCTATGCAACCTCTTCAGGAGCAGCCACTTTTGACCTCCGTCCACCCAGATGCCACTTGTGGCTGTTGTGGAATGTAAATATAAACCAAACACTGTGATTTGAAGGCAGCCCCACATGCAGTAAGACGGCACTACACATAAAACCAATAACTGTGCTGTAGAGGTGCCTGCATGGGCTCAGGAACACCTCTCAGAACCACTGTTAGCATGTTTTCTCAACAGCAGAGAGCGCATCGACAACGATAACAGAGAGCGTGATATTAATCTACATTAAGTCCAAACACCAACCACCAGGAGCAAGGGCACCTTGTCTGTACATGGATTAGAGTTTTAGATGGATTACATTGTTGACAATTTAACATCAGATACATTGGTCCCTAAAAGCTGTCATTGGATTGATTGTCACAGCAACTTATCCGAAAGATCAAACCTAATCACGAGCAGATTTATTCAGTGTAACCAAAAGTAAATGATAGACTGCAGTGGCTTAGTCCCAGGATATCGGCCAAACCATGGCTGCTCCATTTCTTGTTAGTGGATAGAGGGGATCTTAAGCTTCTTTCTTTTCTGTTTTTTATAAACTGCATTCTCGCCATTTGCTTTAAGAGGACAAAGAACATTAAGAGCTCGGGGGCCTATTATGCAGAAGGTTAGCGGAAAATGCAGACACACTCATTCCAATTTGGTTTATTGGCTTTTGTGCTAAAAATAAAGAAAAAAAATGGGGAGACCATGCAAACAATTAGATCATTCATGCATTGGACACTCAAAGGTTGCTCATTTATCTCTTAATTTCATTCTGCTTATGCCATTTTAATTACTTGCATTATTTACCCCTGCATGTCTCTGCATCTTTCTGCTGTCCATCATTTAGTTTTCTGACTTCCTTTCATGCTTCTTTTTTTTAAATGTCGGCTGTCTTATAAAGAAACATTTTCAACATAGAGAAAAGAGCAACTTGAGCACACGTTACACCATCCTTTTTGTTTTTTGCCTTTTTTTCCTAATACAAATAACCTCTTTTTTTTTCAGGGCCTCCAAACAGGTCCTGCAGCATTAAGGTTCAATTTTCTTCATTCCTCTTCTTTTTTCCCCCCATGAGGCCTCGTGGTCACCAGCATCATATGCATATACCCTATAAACGCCCACAGAAGTGTGCAGTCATTGTGGATAAATGAATCCAGCAGCAGTTCCAATCACAAACCCTTGCATACGGTGCCTAACAATAACTGGAGGGCAACCGAACATGTCGATATCATGTGTGAATGATCACGCTTTGTTCTTTTCTGTAACATTTTTCGAACAGAATCCACAAAACGTCAAACACCTCGACATATACTTGTCATTCTAACTTGGCACAAGTCTGGAGCTTCGGCACTACATTAATGGATGGATATTCACACCAGCAGCCGTGTGTTCATTTGGCATATGATCGGCCGCTGGAACAAATCTGACAGACCGTGTTATTAAATAAACAGCAACGATCAAATTTGTGTTTAATTACTTTTTTTTTTCAAGGAATCATTAGCTGCATCACTGGGTTGTTGTTTTTTTATTTATTTATTTCCACATCTGACCCAAATTATAAATAACTTGAAAGCAGTTTCTGATTGTAAATCAGAATCAAAACTGTCAATACTTCCAACAAGCAACCCCCCCCAAAAAAAATTAAATAAAATAAATTGCAACCGTTAGCTTACTAGAGCAAAAAACATTAATATGGGAAAACTGTAATTCAAGGTCTTTGGGTTTTAAAAGAGCGGTATGGCTTCTCATCTGAAAAACTGCAGAGATGATGAGTCAACACCTTCAGGTGAAGTAAAAGATTGTTTTTTTCATCAAGCTGTTACTATATAAAGTATTTTCAATATAACACACACTGTTCAGCAAGTTAAAAAAAAGAGCAGAAAATGGATATTTTCTATCCTCTGCCACTGTGTTTTTCACACAACCTCTGAGGACGGTTAAATTAATATGACATGCGACTGTGATAAGACTCTGACTGAAGACTTTAATGAACAAAGCTCACTTTGAGTGCGGCCCTGTGCGGTAGAAATGACAAATATCACATCTCCGTCCTGGCTCTGTGTCCCTTTCACTGGGATGCTCGGAAGATGTGTGAGATCAACAGAAAAGTGACCGCTGTCGGACTGAATTGCCCTCACTTTCACAGAATGATAAAACTATAAATGCCCTGTGTCTCAAAAGGATTACGAGGCTAAAACAAATAAAAACACAGACAATTGGCAAAACCAGGATCAATAGAGCCAGATCTTGGATCCACCTTGGCTTATTTTGAGCCACATATGAAAATGCATTGTTACCCCCCAAAAAAAGGGAGGGGGGGGGACAAAAGTCCCTTTGCACTTAGTTCAGTCACGTATTGATTCTCTAACCAGATGCACGTTTTACACATATTTTACTGAACATGTCTTCCTCCGGTGTTGGGAAAATCTTCCCCTTACTTGAATACCAAAGTGCCCCATGTCAAATGACCGTGAGTATTCACAGTTAAAATGACATTATAGCGCTGGCTCCCTCCATTATGGAATATCATGGGGCACATTTCCGTGCAACACCAGTAATCCCAAACAGGACTACGTTCACGCTCCAGGGGCATTAACCGCCCCTCAACACGGGCATATCCATCCATCTACGAACCAACAGCGCTAACTATCGCCCCGTCCTCCTCCCCACCGACACAAACGACCGCAGAAAAAAAAGAAGCCCCACAAAGATTAAACCCTAGCTAGAACTGACCACAACAACGGCGAACCTAAAAAAAACAAAACAAAAAAAACAATGTACACAACTTTGGCCAGCGTATTTTAGCGACGCCGAAAAAACTACAGGTTGAGCTGATGGCGTAATGTGGTTAATTCCGCTGGAGGGGGATAAGAGTCAAACGTTTTTCTAAAGTGCAGAGTCTCGGAGAAACAACGGGAACGTGCCACGGTACGTTTCCGTTTGATTGACGAATTGCGCCGCGGTGTCTCAACGGCCCCGGTTGTCGGAGCACACGAGAGAAAAAAAAAAAAGGTCAAACACCCGCAAAACCGGTAACTGGTTAAACATTTAGCCTGACGTCGACGCAGGGATAGTTTGCGCCACAGTCCAGCTGCCTAATCAATAACGTGCACACAAATCACGGAAGCTAAGCGTGTCCGCGTCGACAGCCGTCGCCGTTCCGTGTCGGCTCGGCCCAGCGACTGTTCAAAAAAAAAAAATGTTTCGACAAAAGCGTCACCTTTGGGAAATCTCCCCATACGGCCGAGGAAAAAGGGGCTCGTACCCTGGCAAATGTTACGCCGACAATAGACGCCGAGTGTCGGCTACGTGAATGATAGCTAGCCGCTGTTGCGAATACTTACCAGGTTGACAGTCTTTGTGTTCAAGCAAGGTTAAAAACAGAAGGGATAAAATCCACCAGTAACTCGGTTCCCGTATTTTCCGCATGTTAGACTACTCATCGAGAGCAACAAGAAGGCAACGGGTGATTAAGTTTGCGTGTCCTTTCTCCGTCTTCTTAAAAAAAAAAAAGAATCACACGCACACTGTCGAAGCTGGAACGAAGTTGGCACAGCGGCCACGAAGGCAGAGCATCAAAGTAATGGGGTTTTCGGTCACAGGATACAGTCACTGCTTTCAAAAAGACACATTTACTCGCCTCCAGACTGAGCAGAGGCTGCTTGTAGCTTCGAGGAATAAAGCACCGAGCACACTACGGCAGGATACAAACAATTCAAAATCTGTTGTAGGACTCCTCCGTGCCTGCAACGGGCTTCCAGATAGCGACATTCCCGAAGTGTTTTGGAGGGGGTCAATCGGCAATCAATCGCTGTCTTTAACTACAGGGGAAAAAAAGTGGTCGAATATTATCGATCATGCGTGGTCATTATTAAGTGATTATCCGCGGCGTCGGCGAGACGGAGGTTGAAGCGGAAAAGTGGCGCTGGAAATGCCCCGTCCTTCCATCCAGGGGTAGCCGTGTGGCGGTCAGGCATGTGCGGATATGTGGCTACTGCTCTGGTCCCATCCTGCCGGACAGGCTGCGCGTGAGGAGCCTGCACCGGGCGGGCAGAGGGAGGGAGGGAGGGAGGGAGGGGGGGGGGGGGGTTCCTGGATCCGCTGAATGCAAAATGACACAGAACGAACCCAACGGACGCATTTTCAGGTTTCTTCTGTAATGATATGAAAGACTCCAAAAAAAAGAAAGAAAGCCCAATGACTCGTGCAAGATTGCCAAGTCACCGTCCAAGCCAGATCCAGTCACCTTTCTTAAAATGTGGAATATGTTATGATATAAAACATAGTGAAAATATTGTAGGAGTATGATCTCCCCCCGGGGCTTCTGGATTGAAGCTTAAATCTGGCCTCAACTAGATTGAAAAATAATGACAATGAAAGGGTAGTCGCTGCTAAATCTAGTGATTCCAACCCCCCACCCTGTCATTTGTTGCTTCCTCTCTGCTCCCATTATTAAAATGACCCCTCTGTGGCCACACATGATGCCCCTTTGCCTCCTGCTGGCTGAATTGTGAATGGAATACTTGAGCGGTAATCATCACCTGGAATAGGCTATCATCTTGTGCAAGTGTGTGCCGATTGGAGAATTTTACATCTACGGGTGATACTCCCCTAGGTAAATGTGTAGTCAGTGGTGTTCTTGCAGAACTATCCAGCTGGACATTTAATTTGAGGAATTTGATTAAATTTCTCATTTAATTACCTAGTTCTCTACAGGGCCATTGAGGACAGTCACAAGGGCCCTTTGCTTTTAATGTGGGCCATCTGCTTCCTCTCCAAAATGCCTACCTTTTCAAAGCTCGCACGGCCTTGTGGGCATCCTCGTATGATTCCCCAGGCTGCACCACCTCCATACAAACAGCAAAACACCACCTTGGCTGACAATTGCTCCAGACCTAATTGTTTTCTCCCCGATCGAGTGAAATTAACCTGAACAGAAGTTTAGGAATATTTCTCAATCTCGCTCTGTCCAGTGACACAGAACAAGGGCAACTCTTTGATTTATCAGCTGGACTCCAAGTGTTTGTGCAGTGGACCCAGAGCACTGACCCCCGGTCTGCTGCTAAATCTCCCCAGAATAGATCACCGCAAAACATTGCAAGCAACCCGTATTTATAGTCCATGATTTAGACATTTAAAGCACAGAGCTGTGCAGTTCGGTTGTCGACTGTTTCCAGAATCGATCGGGTTTTTTTCTTTTCTTTGATTGTTCAGGTGTAGATATTCTTCTGTTCTTCATTTCAGGGTCTTTTACACATAGCTTTCACATTCGCGCAATTTAATATTTTCAAATACTAAACAAAGAGATTAGATAAACATAATTAACTGCTTCTATAAGTAAAACAAGTTATTAATCCCTTATCAGCAGCAGTTCTGCAGTGGTTTTTTTTTCTTTTCTTTTTTTAGTCCTTACGACTGCAAATCAAAGTTACTTTTCATGCGCCGGGGATCTTACAGCTCTGATAAATACTGAACAAACAGCAAATAACAGATTTATGTCATCTACAGGTTATGATTTAACAAGGTCATGTAATTTCCTCATAGCCTATTTGAAAATGTACATTGTCATGTCTGGTCCATTATCGTGGGTGTGCTCAGGATGACCATTCTTTTCAAACCTTTTTCCGCAAAAACTGTATGTTTTTTTCTGATTGTTGGCTATTCTAAAACCAAAAGAGACATAAGGTTTGAAGCATATAACTTACTAAGGCCTCAGACTTTTTGCTCACAGTCATGTAGAATTTCAAAGCTGTGTTTATGCTTGCAGCTGTCTCCAAAAATTAAAATATATAATACCTAAAAAGCAGAATGACATATTGTAGGAGTGAATAATATCTGGGTAAATGCTCTCTTTCTTTGTACTGTAATGAAAATGTTGATTGTGGAAATGAAAACGAAGTATCGTAGGCATCCTCCTAAATTAAAAAGGTGAATCAATCACTCAAAACACAATGTTTGCCCTTCGAATTCAAATTTACATGTGCATAAAAAACGTAAGAGAAGAGTTTTCAGAAAAAGGGTCAATTCTAAATCCCTGCAAGAAAGTTCATAATTGCAAACTTGCTAAAGGTCCTACAAACACCTTGGTGTATTCTTGATATAGTTTACTGTTTCATGTACTTGGTCATGGTAAGTAAACAAATATATTTGTAATGGTTAAAACTGTGGTAGATCAGTGGCACTTGGGAATTTGCGCTGCTGTGGACTTTTTTTTCTGCATGAGACTTTCAATCCGGGACTGATGCGTCTTTGGTGTGCATCACTGTCAAGTGAGGGTTGAAGTTGATCCACTGATGATATGCCTCTGAGGTAGAAACAGAGATGGAACTGTCTCTGTGTGTAAGACAGAGCCTCCATCAGCCAACGCAGAGCTCCAACCAACGGAACACAGCAACGTCACTCGGCTGATTTCATGACGGTGGCTTCTTGTGTCAGTGCACACATTGATGCAGCGTCGACCTGGATCCCTTTGGTGGGTGTCTTTACACCGGGTCAAAATCTATTGTGCTTTTTCTTCTTTTTGCCCTTACAACGGAATAATGAATATTAAATACCAGCAAATTCTGGAAATCTGAACATTAAAAGAGAATGGCTTCCACCAAAGGACCATGATCTGAAACATACATTTTAAGGGGCTATTCAAGATGGACCTCAAGTTCTTTTCATGACTTTTACAATCCTGAATAAAAAATCAACAGTGCTTTCAGGACAGCACATCTAGTTTGTTTGTTTACACGCTGAACATCGCCAGAGGGCATTTAAAGGCTTGACCATGGAGAGCACGCTATCTTTACTTTGGGCCTACGTTTCTGTTTTGAAACTTTTGAAGATGAGATTCATTTTTAAAATTGTGTCAATTTTATCCTATGGCCTTTCAGAAAAAAAAAGCCACAAGTAACCTGCAAAGTGAAGGAAAGTTTTGGCTCTACCTCTCTATACCTCATTTGTTTCCACAAAATACCCCCTGCAGCCATTGAGATCAGTCATGATAAGCCCCAGGTTTTCAGATTCATCGTAACAAATGTATGCTTTCCGTGTGTGTCTGGTTTTTGTCATTTTTTTTCAATAAATAGCATTCAAACGACAGTCAAGCAAACAAATGTGCAATATACTCTTTGTGATAAGTCTTAATATGAGAATATTAAAAACAATATGAGTTCTTTATCAGATGAGTGTTTGTGCTTGTAATTCTGCAGTTGCATCTCAGCAAATGTTGAAACTCAATTTTCTCCTGCACAGAAACACTTACACAGCCGTGCACCGGGGGCACATAAAATACTAAAAATGAGGGGACAAACAATAAGTTATTATTCAATGCACACCTTTTCAGTTGTATTTCTCACATCAAACCTGGACGTCTGACAAGATAATTGATAGTTAAAACCATTGAAAGCAATCACGAGCAGCATAGTAAATACCCATTCACAGCCATTATTTTTGTCCTACTAGTATCACACCAGGCCTTTGTGTCACAACTTCGAAAAATCAAAGAGGTCCCAGAGTACCCTCCACTTGCCACAGTATGCTTTTGCAGTCCATAGTAGTTGTATGAGGCATTTTTAAAGTGCGCAGCGACATTTGACATTCTAATCTTTTTCACCCGTAAGGAGCTGAGACCCCAAAGGCATCCTAACACTCTTTCTGACACTTCAATTGCGCTTCAGATTAAAGAAGAAAGGAAAAGCTAAGAAACACAGAAGCTGTACAATTAATGTGAGTCCGGCTATGACACCAGCTTGTCCCACAACTTTCTCTTTCTTCTTTTCCATTAAGTGGCTTGAGAATCACACTTGTGTTATTTTTTCAAACATATTTCACATGTTGACAGTTGCTGCATAATGTACGACTGTGAGCATCAATTATGTAATGCAATTCAGGCTATGACCATATATAATTTATTTGATTCTCAATCTTTTCCATTATTTAGTCAAAAGCTATTTTTATAATTATTACACTTCCCAAATATCTTTTGTTGGTCTGTCCTCTCGTTCCTCTCATCAGTGTGTCATGTTACTGTGCAAAATCTTCGACACATTAATGCTTCAGAGGGTGTGACAAGTGTCTGTTAGCCATGGCAGGACAGCCTCAAAGAGGGTAGCACTTAAAAAGTGCAAAGAGAGGTTTGGAATCTAGCTTCTAGAAAGCCAATAACAGCTTTAAAGCTAAAATGTCAAAAAGTGGGAAGCGCTCCAGGATGACAATGTAACACGATGTGATCTTCCTGTTCCTTTCTATTTTGATAAATGGTGATCAGTTGCCAACTTACCCATATGAAAAAAAAAAAAAATAGGCCGCGCTATATTTGCATTTGAACAACATTACGAAAAATAATCCTCATTGTGCTCAAAAGTGTTTCAAGCCAAATTCCAGTCCCAATATTTCTAAATCCGTATTAGAAATGAAAACGACGTGGCTGTGATTAAATCACATCGAATCTTAAAGGGCCAAACCTGTATTTTGCATGCTTTAGTCCATTCACTGGTGCCACATTTATTTCACATTACTGCCAAGAATTCTGATGTGTTTTGCTGCTTTCTTGGCAGTCACTGGCTTCATTTAAAGTCTGCAAGGAATGACAGACAAGTTAAGCCATTACAAAGAACATCATGTCTGGTTTTATTTTCGTCAAAGTCATATTATGTTGTGCTGAAATCCGTGGAGAGATTTGAAAAGTCTGCCTGCGTGATGCATCCATGTGCTTTGGGAAAGTCAGTTGCCAATCGGGACTGCATTCATGATTTACACCAACAGAAAGCTGTGAACGCAATCAATGAGCAAATATATCCAGATTGTTTAAAAGAAAGTGTGATTTAGTTACTAAATTATCACTAAGACCTGGATGATGAATTCCTAAGAATTTCCCTTTTAGAAAAATGTGCAGAAAAAAGTGTTTTGCATGTGAACATTAGGTTGTTAACAGGAATAATACTCCAACATTGAGGATTCCCTGGGAGCAAATGGGAACATCTGAGGTTCCTGTGGAAACAGGAAGGTGCTTCTCCACTGTGACATGCTGTGCCTCTTCTTTTCCTAGCACTGATTATTGATTATATTGTGCCTGTCATCTGTCTCTCCCGGTGTGAAGATGCCGCTGGCAGGCAATCTTAGAGTAAACAAAATGAAATCTGACACATATGGACTCGCGACCTGTCCGGAGTACACCTCCCCTCTCGCTCTCTGACAGTTGGGATAGGCACCAGCTCCCAGACAGGATCGAGCAGGAGAGCGAAATGAATGAATGAATAAATAAATGAATGGAATGTGACACTTCCACGTGGTCAATGCTTTTGGCTGGGCCTCGCTGGCTTACTTTGTTTTAAATCATCCTAAGATCGCACGTTTGATTCATATGAGCACATTACTTCATTCATCAAAGTAATGCTGAGCCCTAAAATGCAGAGGCTTTACCATGATGTAACGTGTTGGCGCAGCTGACCTAATTCTGTAGGCTGGAGAATGAGTTCCTGTAATGCGCAGATAACGAGAGAAACGTGGAAAGTTTTAGATCTGGGTGGTCAGTATTAGATCAAATAAATGTGAGGGGCGCAAGAACGAAGGAGCTGGGAACAGAAAGTAAGAGTTATGACGTGAATAATTTGAGGCTCTAGTAGTTGCTATTTGAAGCCAGTAGAGGGTGTGTGCAAAATTCATGTTGCCATTAATCAATGCAGTTGTTCAAACCACCTAGGACCATCAGTGAAGCTCCTGAAGAACATAATAGACTCATTTTTCACCGAAAGGCAACAAAGCCTAGCTACGCACTTCTGGATGATTCAATAGCTAAGAAAAGGCCCCAGAATAGAGCGTCAGTGTTCTTAATACGACATATTGATGCCATAATAATTTACTAGATTTTTTTTCTCGAGGCCCGGCACAGACTGTTTGTGTTGCAATTTTAATCAGCACCTTTGTTTGCGTGCACGTGTTGTCAACAGAAAGCAACAGCTGTCTCACAACAACATGGGAGGAAAAATAGGCTGCCCAAATAAATTCAGTGAAAACATGAAACATCAGCGTATCCCTTTTGTTACAGGTAATTTCTACCACCATGAGCAAAGCTAAGGGATCAATTTTTATTTCACTTCCAACAATTTGCGCTCATTTGCAAGTCACAGAGGACTGTTTGAATGTTATCACAATGACGCAAACAGCTGGTTGAAAAAGGAAAGCCTCATTAACATAACAGTCCTTAAATTCCTCAATGAATTTGCATACATGCAAACATGGATCTTCTTTGCTCTCATTAATTCTGACGCTACATAGGATGCCGTGTCGAATGTCTCAGAGATGTGGAGAAAACTGACACAATGGCTTACAGCTGCAAACATTTTGTCAGACATGATGTAACCGCTCACAGTGATTGTTTCTAAAGGATGCTTCAATGTTTGTGATATGCTGTTTTGCTGCACCGGATCTTGGCCACCATT